AGGCATTTTTTTTTAAAGTAACTCTTTGGCCAGGCACAGTGGCTCACGCCTGTAAGCCCAGCACTTGGAGTCCAAGGTGGGTGGATCACAAGGTCAGGACTTAAAGACCAGCCTGACCAATATGGTGAAATCCCATCTCTACTAAAAAATACAAAAATTAGGCAGGCACGGTGGCATGCACCTGTAGTCCCAGCTACTCGGGAGCCTGAAGCAGGAGAATCGCTTGAATCCAGGAGGTGGAGGCTGCAATGAGCCCAATCGCACCCCTGCACTCCAGCCTGAGTGACAGAGACTCTATCTCCAAAAAAAAATTAACTCTTTATTTTTAATTTTTGTGGGTATATAGTAGGTGTAAAATGTACGGGTTACATGAAATATTTTAATATAGGCATGGGATGCCTAATAGTCACATCGGTGTAAATATCCATCACCTTAAGCATTTAGCCTTGTGTTACAGAAAATCCAATTTACTGTTTTAGTGCCATTGAATTATTTTTGACTATAGTCACCCTGTTGTGCTAGCAAATACTGCCTTATATATTCTTTCTATTTTTGTACCCATTAACCATTCCCACCTCCTCACAACCACTGCCTATCCCAGCCTCTGGTAACCATCCATCTAGTCTCTATGTCCGTGAGTTAAATTGATATAATTTTTAGATTCCACAAATAAGTGAGAACATGAGAAATCTGTCTTCCTGTGCCTGGCTTACATCACTTAACAGCATCACTTGCTGAAAGCACTTTTTTTTTTAAGACGGGGTTTTACCGTGTTGGTCAGGCTGGTCTTGAACTCCTGACCTCAGGTGATCTGCCCGCCTTGGCCTCCAAAGTGCTTGGATTACAGGTGTGAGCTACCACGCCTGGCTTTTTTTTTTTTTTTTTTTTTTTTAGCTGAAAGCATTTTTAATGCCGTTTCCTCATTGCTTGATCAACTATTTCTAGGCATTTAGACATAGATTCAGTCATCCTAAAGCACTTTTGGTGAAGGTCATTATTGAAATCTTTGCTTTTAATAGTTTATTTATTTGTTAGGTGGCTATACCACCTAATACTTAAAAATGCATTTTTCTTGCCGGGCACGGTGGCTCAAGCCTGTAATCCCAGCACTTTGGGAGGCCGAGGTGGGTGGATCACGAGGTCAAGAGATTGAGACCATCCTGGTCAACATAGTGAAACCCCGTCTCTACTAAAAATACAAAAAATCAGCTGGGCATGGTGGCGCATGCCTGTAATCCCAGCTACTCAGGAGGCTGAGGCAGGAGAATTGCCTGAATCCAGGAGGCGGAGGTTGTGGTGAGCCGGGATCGCGCCATTGCACTCCAGCCTGGGCAACAAGAGCGAAACTCCGTCTCAAAAAAAAAAAAAAAAAAAAATGCATTTTCCTTAACAGTGGGCCCCTGATTCTCTCTCACCTTCATTATTTAAAGACTAGAGATGAGGGCATCATGAACTTCTTCATACAGAACCCCAGGAGTAGAAAGACACCCTATCACTAGCAGGCCCCAGGCAGTTTTGGGTCAGGCTACCTTGTAAAATGCTTAGTAGAACAGAATTTGCTCCCTCTGGGCAGACTCTCTGCAAGGGAAAGGGACAGGGCTTCTGTGTCAGTTACCAGTCTATTGCTTCCCAGCCTCTAAGTCCACCAGTTCAGTGCTGGCTCAAAAATGACAGGGCTAGGCCGGGCGCGGTGGCTCAAGCCTGTAATCCCAGCACTTTGGGAGGCCGAGGTGGGTGGGTCACGAGGTCAAGAGATCGAGACCATCCTGGTCAACATAGTGAAACCCCGTCTCTACTAAAAATACAAAAAATTAGCTGGGCATGGTGGTGCGTGCCTGTAATCCCAGCTACTCAGGAGGCTGAGGCAGGAGAATTGCCTGAATCCAGGAGGCGGAGGTTGTGGTGAGCCGGGATCGCGCCATTGCACTCCAGCCTGGGCAACAAGAGCGAAACTCCGTCTCAAAAAAAAAAAAATAAAATAAAAATAAAATAAAATAAAATAAAATAAAAAAATAACAGGGCTGTCCTGGCTCCTTTGCAGCTAGCGCAGTTCCAAGCTCAGCCACTAGAGGGGGCACGAGGGCTATCCCAGGAGGAAGAGACCCCACGTGCCGCCGCCTTGTCTGTCTTCTTGCTCCTGTTATGGCCTGTCAGTCCCACAAGAATGGGGCCCCCGGGCATGTTCGCCGCCCCAGCTCCTGCCTTGTGACTGCCTCACCACAGCCCTCTCCATACCCGGCCACCAGCCTTGGCCCCCTGCACCCTAGGGGGCTGTCTCCTACTTCCCTGGTGACCGTGGTCCAGCCCTGGAACGACCAGAGGCCTCAACCAGATCCCCCCAGTGAGGTTCACACCTCCACTCTTGACTTGCTCCTCTCTTGGCATAACTGAAAGTCTGGCCGCTTTTTGATGTTTGTTTCTTATCACCTCGAAGCTGGACAAACTGATAAGCCTGGGTGCCCACTCTTCTAGTGCCAGTGGGGAGTTCAAACTCTGTGCTGTAGCCCTGGCTGTGGAAACCCCCAGCCAGCCTCCTCTCTCTGCCCTCTCAAGGTACCTTCAGACCATTTTGGGAAAGCCCAATCTGCTCTCTTTAGAAATCCTGTTATGTCATAAGCTTCATACCCTCTTGGAGAGTGTGTGTGTATAGGGGTATGTGTGTGTCATCAGTCTTAACATTCGAACTCAATTTTGGGTGATGTAATCCTTTTTCTCCAGGGTGGTCCCAACGTTTGCGTTGTTACAGCCTCTCACCTGCTCAAGCCAGGCTTGGGTAGGTGCACCTGAAATCCATCAGTTCTCCTTTCACTCTCCCAGAAAACCGTAAGAGAATCTTGATTTCTCCCGTATCCTCTTTTACCGAGCACCCTCCAATCCATTCTCACTTGACAGGCATACTGAGCTTAAGTTAGGTAAACCTAATTGTGCTGTTACAGTCTTTAAAATTTGTCAGTGGATTCTCATTCCTCTGAGAAACTTTCCTTCCTAGGCATCCTTCCTTCAGAGGTCTTTTTTCTTTACAGTTAGGCCCTTGTTGTGGTTAATGATTATTTTGGAGGTCAGAAAGCTTTTCTCCATAAAGGAGCAGAGAATATATATTTTATGTTTTGCAGGCTATTTGGTCTCTGTTGGATATTCTTCTCTGGTTTGCTCATATTACAACTCTTAACATAAAAAACAATTCTTGTCCAGATGTGCTGATTCACACCTGTAATTGCAGCACTTTGGAAGGTCAAGGGAGGAAGATCACTTGAGTTCAGGACTTTGTGACTAGCCTGGGCAACACAGTGAGACCCTGTCTCTACAAAAAAACTAAAAAATTAGCCAAGCTGACCAGGCAGGATCGCTTGGACTGGCTTATTTCACTTAACATAATCATGTGCTGGAAGCTTGGTCCCAGGAAGTCAAGGCCTCAGTAAGCTATGATCATGCTATTGCATTCTATCATGAGAGGCAGTATAAGACCCTGTCGGAGAAAAAAAAAAAATCCTATTTTCTAGCTTGTGGACTGTTGAAAAACTAGGTAGCAGGTCATTGTGTGTCAGTCCCTGCTTCATATTAAGTGCTACTTGTGCAAATTGCTGTGGGCTTTTTCTCTTGATTGGACCCTGACTGATACAGCTTCTCAGGGCAGTTTCTCCTCCAAAACGCCTCAATCATTTTTCCCCAGAGAAAGAATACATTAGAAAGTGGATAAAGGCCAAAAGTCCAAAACTAGTGCATCTCCAGCTACACAGAAAAGTGCCAAGAGTGGGCCATACACATCCCCCATTCAACAAAATTAAACATCATGGAGGAAGGCACCCCTCAATCAGTCTCTGAACTCAGACTGGTCTTCCTGAAGCACAGAGAGTAACAGAGACTGACAGTCACAAGGGTCATCAGTGGTCATTCACAAAAATGAAGTCATTTTGTAACACACACTCTCAGGTCCCACCTCTACTCTACTAAATCAGAATCTCTGAGTTTGGGGCCCACCCATCTGTGGATCAACAAAGCCTTCATGGGATGGTAATGCCACTAAGACCAACTAGTCACCAGAGACTCCTAACGCCTCTGTAGTTCAAAAGTCAAATCAGGAATTTAGAGGTTGCCAACTTTAAGCCAAAAAATACACCATCTGGGGCAGGGAGGTAAATAGGCAGAGCAGAGAGGATTTGGGGGACAGTGAAGATACCCCCCATGATACTCCAGTGGTGGATACTCATCATTAGGCTCTTGTCCAAACCCACAGGATGTACAACACCAAGAGCGAGCCCTAATGGACACCATGGAGTCTGGGTGGTGAGGATAATGTGTCTAGGCAGGCTCACTGACGGAACAAGCATCCCACTCTGCTGGGGATGCTGGTGGGAAGAGGCTGTGCTGTGTGGGGAGGGCGTCTAGGGGAACTCTGTGCTGTCCACTGAATTTCCTTGTGAACCTGTAACAGCTCTGAAAAATAAAGTCTAAAGCCAAGTGTGGTGGCTCACACCTATAATCCCAGCACTTGCTGGAGGCCAAGGTGGAAGGATTGCTGGAGGCCAGGACAGATCCCATCACTACAAAAAATTATTTTAAAAATTTTGAATAAAATACTGATAAAGCCTAATACAATCAATACGGGACACACTGGCTCACACCTGTAATAGCACTCTGGGAGGCCAAGGCAGGCAGATCACTTGAACTCAGAAGTTCAAGACCAGGCTGGGCAAGGTGGCAAAACTCATCTCTACAAAAAATACAAAAGTCAGCTGACATGGTGTGGTGTGCTCTTCAATCTCAACTACTCCAGTGACCAAGACGGCAGAATTGCTTGAGCCTGAGAGTTCAAGGCTGCAGCGAGCTGTGATCAGGCCAGTGCACTCCAGCCTGGGTGAGAGTGACGCCCCATTCAAAAAAAAAAAAGAAAAACCAATACAAGATGCCCAATAGAAGCTGAGTTTCAGATAAATAATAATTTAGAACATGCTCATACTTAAAAAATTGTTTGGTTGAAACACAAATGTCCCCAGGCATTGCGTATTTAATTTGGACACCCTACTTTGACAATTTTACTTTACAGCAAGACAGTGGGTAACGGCATGTCAATCAGAAGCCTCAGTTGTTTGTTATAAGATGTTTGATTTTTGAAAGAACACCACAAACCAAAATAACCCCATAAGAAAACAACAGACATAATGAAACAGAAAACACAAGTCAATGTGGAGAATAAATATTTCCTCAGACATTCTGGTGAATCCTATCTAGGGCCCCTCCTCTGTGTGTCAGGCCCTTGCATGTGCTCTATGTGTCATATGTCATCTGATAACAACAGTGAAAAATCATCCTTCACATAGGATGTGATAACATAGACCTGATTATGGAATCACCAGGAAGTGGTTTTGCAATGTGTTTTTTGGTGACGTTTTAACGTTTCAGGCCGACCGAAGGCTCTTGGACATTTGGAGCATTTATAGGGTTTCTCTCCAGAGTGGATGCGCTGGTGCTGTTTCACGTTTTTCCTGTAGGTGAAAACTCTCTTGCAGATGTTACATTTGTAGGGCTTCTCCCCTGTGTGGCTCCTCTTGTGACATTTCAAGGAGAATGTCCTGGTGAACCGCTTCTGGCAGACATCACACATGTAGGGCTTCTCTCCAGTGTGGGTGCGCTGATGAACCCGGAGGTCTGAGAGCTGCATGAAGCGCTTGCCACAGAGATTACACTGAAAGCGTCTCTCTCCTGTGTGTGATCTCTTGTGGATGACTAGCTTGCCATAATACTTAAACCTCTTACTGCACACATCACATGCAAAGGGCAGCAGTGCCACGGCTTCTTGGCCATCGGGGTGACTGCCTGCATCCGCAGGGCCTGGGGAATGAACTGGATTCATCCCAGCTGGTCCTGAGGAGTCTCTGTTGCCCACAGGTGTGGCTCCTCCTTGAGGCTCTTCTTGGGAAATGGAAGTGGCGTCTGGTTTGCTTCTTTTGGGACCTCTCGGATTCAGAGAGTCTCCTCTGTCCTCGCTGTGAGCCAAAGCTTCTGTCTCCACTGTGCAGGCAGAAGCTGTGTCAGCATCCACATTCTCCACAGAGGCTCTTTTTTGGGGTTCCTTCCCATCCTTTGCCCTCACCAGATCTGCTGGAAAAAGGAATTCCACATAAAACAGTGAATAAAGTGCATTTTCAATTCACTAAACTCATTGCAACCAAACGCTGAAGTTGGCTGAGAACTTCCCCTCCACCTCAAGCCTAAGACATGGGACCATACATCTCTGGAGAGTGGGGGATGGAGAGGCTTTGGCAGCTGAGCACCAACTCCCCCAGGAGATGATAATGCTGGCCCCAGCCCCCACCCCAGAAGAGGGGGGCTAACTCCCTGTGGATCCAAGTCTCCATACTCACTGGGACCCTGTGGAAGCTGCGGCTCTGGGGATGTGAGTCCTGGGTTCTCTTTGCTGTTTTCCTTCAGATCCTTCTCCAGGTTCTGCTTGGGTCTCCAAACCTTTGGGTCACCTTTCATGACAACAGTCTTTTGTATCAGGAAGCCCTCTCCCTGACAATGAAAAACCAAGAGCAATGACTGCTGGGTCTACACTGGTGGAAGCACAGACATGTCTGTCCCTTCCTGATTGGATGCACCAACTTTTCTAATGACACAGGGTGGAAACATGTGCAGACTTCCTCTGGGCCACCCCATCACCCCAAGTCAACATCACCACCTCATTTCTGAGTCTGTCCCTAATCGGGACCCTCCATATTCTAAATCAGCCCCTGTGCCTTGTGGTTTTCAACTCTTTGCTTCTCTGAGTCTATTTCTCCCAGCCATGCCACCATCTCCCTGTCCCTGACGCTGGAAGGAGCAGGATTTTGTCAAGGTCCCTCACCCATGGCACCATTGGCATTGGGGCTGCATCACCCTCCTGGTGGAGACACTCCTGTGTAGGACAGAGACCCCGCCTCCACCCTTTAGATGCTGTGAACACCCCACCACCCCCTACAATGACACACAAAAACATCTCCACACATGGCCAAATGTGTCCTGAAAGGCAAAATCACTCCAGTTGAGAAACACTCCTCAAATTAAAAAATAGATAGTCTGTAGGAAATGGGTTCCTGGCTGAATGATTTTGTGAAATGTCTGAGGAAACTGGCTGTGAGGAAGGGACCTTCAGTTCATTCATCTGTGCCAAGTGCCACCCTCACTTCACTGACACCATTTCTTGTGTTTTCTTTTCTTTTTTCTTTTTTTTGAAATGGAGGCTCGCTCTGTCAACCAGGCTACAGTGCAGTGACATGGTCTCAGCTCACTGCACCCTCTGCCTCCCAGGTTCCAGCAAGTCTCCTGCCTCAGCGTCCTGAGTAGCTGGGATTACAGGCATGCGCCACCACACCCGGCTACTTTTATATTTTTAGTAGAGATGGGGTTTCACCATGTTGGCCAGGCTGGTCTTAAACTCCTGACCTCGTGATCCGCCCGCCTCAGCCTCCCACAGTGCTGGGATTACAAGCGTGAGCCACTACACCTGGCCCACTGAGACCATTTCTTACCCCCAACCCTAGATGCTAAAAGCTTCCATGGTAGTAAAATGTAGATAAAGCTTCACTCTCTGTGATGGCTCAGGAATGTCTGGGGATGTAACACATCCATGAAAAATGAATCTAATTTTGTCCTGTACCAAATCTCTAATCAGTCCAGAGGCACACTCAGTTTCCTCCTGTTCCTTCTCCCACCTCTGTCCAGACACCAGGGCCTCACACACTCACCTGCCCGCTGAACAGTGTGGGGACCCTGGGCAGGGTCTGCAGCTCCCAGCTGGCCTGGCCTTCCCCCTGTTGCATGTCGTTCACAGAGGAGGCCCACTGGCTGGACACGTCTCTCAGATCATCCCTGACACTGGCGGGGGCTTCAGCCATCTCAGCCTCTGAGTCCAGCATAAGATATTCCTTGCCAAGCAAGTTAACCACAGACTGTAGAGAAAAAAGACAATCAGACTCACCGTGAGAGCCTGAAAGTAGCTCTCACATTCCCTGGGTCCTGCCATCATGCTCACACTTTACTGTAATTAATGTTCAAAATCTTCCCAATGCACAGTCAGCTCTGTAGACACAGCAGTCCTGTCTGAATTTTTTTTCTCTAGAGAAGTATATAAATATGGGTCCTTTAAATGAAAGGGTCTCTAAACCAAAGAGAAGAAAAGGAGGAATATTCTGGGTGAATCCAGCTCCATTTGCCAATGGGAGCTCACCTTGTGTTGGAACTTAGGGGCTCCTGTGGGGACCTGGAGAGAGATGCTTGGATCTCTGATGCCAACCACTTCCCTGCCTCAGGTGGGGACTTCTGGACCCCCCTTCAGTTCACTCTAATCCCTCCTTCCCTTCGTTCCATCAGGCGGAATATTTCACCAGCGTCTTTCTTTCCTGCTGGACTCACACAGGGTGTGGGTGCCTGTATTCCCTCTGCCTGTCCATCTCCTAGACCAGGGATGTGCCATCTCAGCACAGCTGATATTTGAAGCTGGATGAGTATTTGTCATGGTGGATTGCCCTCAGCATTGGAGAATGTTTAGCTTGTGACAACCGAAAACTGTCTCCAGACACTGCCATGTGTCCCTGATGGGCAAACTCTCCTCTACTTGGAAGTGCTGACCTAGAGCAGCCCCTCGTGTCCTCTCGAGTCCAGCTGCACCTTGCAGCCCCCAGCCCAGCTCCCCTTCCCTGCACCAACCACGAGGGTCCTACTCACCCATTTCTTGGGTCTTCTGTTGTTCCGTAGCAGGTCCTCCAGCTCTCTGCAGCTCCGCACACCGTTCATCATGACTAAGATCTGGAGCTCCTGGGGCATGGAGATCAGGAACTGCTCCATCACCAGCATGTCCAGGATCTGCTCTTTGGTGTGGAGGTCGGGCCTCAGCCACAGATGGCACAGCTCAGTGAGTTTCCTCAGAGCCTGGATGGGGTCCGACTGCTCCGGGCAGCTGAACATCCTGAAGTTCATGTGACAAGTCTCAGGGTCCCGGTCATGATTTCCAAGTGGAGTTTCTGAGGATGCCACAGACCGTGGCAGCTCTGACCCAGGACTGTTGCAGGCTTGTCCCTGACCCCATGAGGGTGTGCAGTTTGCAGCCATATCTACTGGAGAATATTTCAGTCAGTCTCTTAGCAAGCTCTTCCAGTAGCTGGTGTCTAATTGAGGCCTGTGTACACAGGTCTTTGGTTTTCCTCAGGTATCGATTCACTGTTCACTCAGAAGTCTGCAAAGAAAAGCGTGAACCCAATCAGTTTAAGTTTCTACTCCATCAGCCCCTCCCTTCTAAATCCGTCATCCCAATCCTGGATGCGGCTTCTCCACGGTATCAGACTCAGCACCGTGGAAATGAATCCACTCTCTTGTTTTTCCAGTGTCTATACCTGACTACATGTTCTGGCTTAAAACCTGAATTCTCCCCTGGATTCTGATCTCTAGGAAATCATTGTGCAAAGGTTGAGTCCGCTTTCCTTTCAATTGGAACAACATGGTTTCCAACTGTACATTAAATAGGACAGTTATGTGCAGCTCCTAAAATCTGATGCAACAATCATGTCAGTTCTTTATGTTTTCCTGTGCACACAAGATTCAAGGCAAAGTCCTTAATCATCATTATGCAAAAAGATAGAGAAAATACTTATAACCTACAATTTTCCCCCAACACATTTTCTTGTTAGCCTCAGAACATTTATTTGCTCCAGGGAAGGGTGAGCATTAAGTAATCCTATGAGAATTAAGCTCCTACACAGATGTTGTTATTTTGGGTAAAATGGACATTCATAAATTTCATCATTTTTACCTCCCGTAAGTGCACAATTTCATGGCACTAAGGCACACACTGTGTTGTGCAAACATCACCACAAGTCTGTTTCCACAGTTACCTCATCACCCTAAAAAACCCCATCCCAATCAGTAATCACCCCTGCCCCACCCACCCCAGCCCCTGGCAATCACTAATCTACTTTCTGTCTCTAAAGATTTCTCTGTTCCTAATCTCATCTCAGAAAATAGATTTAAAGTCTAGTGCTTAATGAAATTTTCAGGAAGTGGGATCAGACAATAGGATATTTTTAAGGCTAGGCGCCGTGGCTCATGCCTGTAATCCTGACACTTTGGGAGGCTGAAACAGGAGGATCACTTGAGGTCAGGAGTTCAAGACCAGCCTGACCAACATGGTGAAACCTCATCTCTACTAAAAATACAAAAATTAGCTTGGTATGGTGGCACATGCCTGTAATCGCAGCTACTTGAAAGGCTGAGGCAGGAAAATCACTTGAATCCAGGAGGCGGAGGTTGCAGTGAGCCAAAATCATGCCATTGTGCTCCAGCCTGGGCAACAAGGGCGAGACTCTGTCTCAAAAAAAAAAAAAAAAAGAAAAAAAAAAGATTTTTTGAAATGTGGTTCTAACTGTAGTTTCTTTAGGCAAGAACCACTATGTGATACTCTCCAGGCATCCATTATTATCCAAGTTCAACAGCTATGAGAACACAGCTCTGCTTTCCTAGCCACAGGTGGGGGATGTTTTCTGAAAGTCTTCAGAAAGCAGAAAGACTTGACAGGAGGGTCTCTGGAAAGGTCATGGGAAGCCTGGAGGATGGAAACCCCACACCTCCTGGAAGGAATCTGAGCAAGTGCAGAACAGACAGACAGCCAGGGAGAGCTTCGGCAGAGCTGGGAGACAACCCAGAGGAGGAGACAATATTTACACACCACGCATCTCACACGGGCTCCTATGCAAAGCATGAACTGCTCCACAGCGAGAAAACACAGAACCCACTAGAAGGGGGCAAGGTGCCCGTGTGGGCGTCTCAGATGGAGACCTGTGAATGGCCAGCAGGTCTAGGAAAAGGTGCTCATCATCACTCATCTTCAGGACATGCAAATCCAAACCACAGGACACCCCTCAGGCCGGCTAGAGCGGCTGTTCCCAAAAAGACCCATGTCGTGAGTGTTGGAGAGGATTCGGAGGACAGGAACCTTGGAGCCCTGTGCTGAGAATGTATATCACTGCAGCCGATATGGGAGACCGTGTAGAAGCTCCCCAAAACATTAAACGTGGAACAACTGCGTGATCCCTCAATCCCTTTCCTGGGCATGTACAGAGGAAAGGAAGTCAGGACGTGGACTCCAAACCAGTGAACCTCGGGAGGGACAGAGGGAGGGAAGGTTGAAAAACCACCTATTGGGTGCTGTCCTCAGGTCCTGGGTGATGGGTTTAGTCACACCCCAAACGTCAGCATCACTCAATACACTCCTGCAACAAATCTGCACAGGTACCCACTGAATCTAAAATACAAGTTCAAATTATGAAAAAAAATTAAATAAAACAAGTAAACGACATAAATAATAATTAAAACCCAGTGGACTCACAGTAGCTGTGAGTAGAATGCTGGTTACCAGGGCTGGGGTGGGGGCTGGGGAAATGTAGGTCAAAGGGTACGCGTTTCAGTTGAAGAAATTAACTCAGGAGAGCAATTGTCCAGCATGGTGACTTCAGCTCATAACAATGTTTTGTACACTTGGAAATTGCTTAAAGAGTAGATTTCAAGTATTCTCATGACCAAAGATGATTTGTACATAAAGTAAGGCATATGAATATTAGCTCAATTTAGCCCTTTTACAAGTTTTATGTCCTGCAAAGCACATGCTGTACACCACAAATATGTACAATTTTTAGCTTTCAATTAGAAGCAAATTAATTTTTTGTTGAAAAAGCATACAGATATAAGAGAGAAAAGGCAGCCTGAAAATCTGCATTAAAAGTGGTTTTGCCACAGGGAAACCTCGGCCTGCTGCTGCTCAGAAGGCCGAGGCGGGAGGATCACTCAAGCCCAGAAGTTTGATAACAGCGTGGGCAACATAGTGAGAGCCTGTCTCTTAAAAAATTGATTTCATGTTCCTAGAAATCACCTTGTATTTGCTCTCATTTCTTTTCGCATTAAAGCAAGCAACGGGACACGGGAGAAAATAAATGTAGGTACGGGGGTCAGTGTTCAATTCTGGGAGTATACAGCACACAAGACACCCAGGTAGGGACACTTAACTCAGATTCTCACTGGCCTAGTAGGTTGATGCTCATTCATTGATGGCTTGATTTTATACCCTGTGGAAAGGGAAATTCCAGTGACGCTTTTTAACAAGCGGTTAAAAGTGTGCGCAGCAAGGTGGCTCGTGCCTGTAATTCCAACACTTTGGAAGACCGAGTTGGGAGCGTGCTTGAGCCCAGGAGTTTAGGACCAGCCTGGGCAACGTACCGAGAACCCATCTCTACAGCAAAGTAGCCGGGTGTGTTGGTATGTGCCTGTAGACCCAGCTACTGGGGAAGTGTCCGCCGGTGGCTTGAGACCAGGAATTGCAAGCCAGCGTGGGCAATGAGCGAGACCCTGTCCCAAAAATGTAACCCAACCATGATGAAATATTTAATATCATTCCTATTTTACAGAAGAGTTACATAATAAACCAGAGTTAATAATGGTGTACAATACAGACCCGCTGCCTTCACAATGTCTGTGAGCAAATGCATGAGAAAATAAACCCACATCTTTCTGAAACCAACCCTCCCCCGCACGCCAACTCCTAAACCCCATAGGCATCCTCACTGGACACTCACTGCCTTCCTGCCTTCCTGCCTTCTGCCTCCAACCTCCTCGCGTCTGGGATGAGCTCTCCACCTGGTCGGGAGCTGAACTGCTCTATTTATACAGAAGCCAAGGGACTCCAGGCACCTTTTCTGGTTCCCTGTGCCGCCCCATGATTGGTTTAGGGCCATAGAATCCATTTTAGGTGATTGGCGTTGATTGCATTTCCCAATGAAACCCCACCCACAGGAAATTAAAGTATTAAACATGCCTACTGTGCAAATAACATTGGTTTTTCCATTCTACTGAATTGTCATATTTCTGAAGTATTTGGAGGCCTTAGAAAATATAGATCCGTAAGTTTTAATCACTTTGGGTTTCTTCATGCCACACAGACAGTAATATCCTAATAAGTAAAGTAAAGGACGTGTTCAGAGTTGGTGGGGGCCGGGCACAGTGGCTCATGCATGTAATCCCAGCACTTTGGGGGGCCGAAGTGGCTGGATCGTCTGGCAGGAGTTCCAGACCAGCCTGACCACCTTGGCGAAACCCTGTCTCTACCAAAAATACAAAAATTAGCCGGGCGTGGTGGTGGGCGCCTGTAATCCCAGCTACTTGGGAGGCTGAGGCGGGAGAATTGCTTGAATCAGGGAAGTGGAGGTTGCAGTGAGCCAACATTGCGCCATTCCATTGTAGCCTGGGCGACAGAATGAGACTTCATCTCAAAAAAAAAAAGGAGTTGGTGGATTAATATCAAACCACTGATTTAATCCAGTTTAAGCAAATAAAGATAGTCAGTGGTGATATATAATGATAGTGATAATTCTTTACTTTTCTTTTTCAAACTCTTGGAATTCACATGGGAAAGCTTTTCTTGAACTAGACTAAATCACTAGTTTGATATCAGCCAACCTACCCTTATATAAAAACAGTGGGAACCAGAGAAAGGCAGATGGTCCCCACTCTGCATTCACTCCAGGATGGTGGGAGGTGGTTTATAGCTCCACTGAGGGTCCTAAAGGGTTCCCTAGTTCTCAACCCCCTCAGGGCCCTCAAGCGTGAAAAGCCTTAACGATGGGTGTGAATTTTACTTACTGGATCATGGAGTCATTGTGGAATGACAACTAAGTGCTAGGCATAATTAAATTACAATTTGGAAAGTTCACAGGATCAACTGATTTACTCACAAATCAAATTGTGACTCATTCTTTTTTTTTTTTTTTTTTTTTTTTCTAGTCTTGTTCTGTCACCCAGGCTGGAGTGCAATGGCGCCATCTCGGCTCACTGCAACCTCCACCTCCTGCGTTCAAGCAATTCTGTCTCAGCCTCCTGAGTAGCTGGGATTACAGGCGCCCGCCACCACACCCTAATTTTTGTATTTTTAGTAGAGAACGGGGTTTCACCATGTTGGTCAGGCTGGTCTTGAACTCCTGATCTCATGATCTGCCCGCCTTGGCCTCTCAAAGTGCTGGGATTACAAACGAGAGCCACCGCACCCAGCAAACTCATTCATTTTTAATTCA